AGCAAGGGAGTCCAACCCAGATGTTGGCTCATCCAGAAATAGCAGTAATTGAGGCTTACTTGCTAGCTCAACTGCTATAGTAAGTCTTTTGCGTTGCTCGGCGTTCAGTCCAGCTCCTCCCTCGCCGACTATAGCACCTGCAATTTGCCGCATCTCAAGGAGATCAATTATCTTTTCGCAGTATTCGTACTTCTCCTTGATAGGTACCTCCTTTGGCTGACGAAGGAGGGCTGAGAACTGGAGCGATTCTCTGACAGTTGCTGTAGGTTCGTGAATATCCATTTGCTCGGCAAAGCCAGTTGCTCTTTGGAAACTTTTAGGAAGAGGCCTGCAAATGTAAGCATTTGTTGGAGAAGCAGTCTTCAAGCTGATACTCACTTTCCGTCAACAAGAAAGGTACCTGTGACGACTCCAAAATTTACCCGCTGGGCGAGAGTATTGAGAAGCGTGGTTTTGCTGGGCAATAATTAGTGCTTGTCTACAGACCGTAGAAAACCGTCACTTACCCAGCGCCAGAGGCGCCCATTAGCGCAGTAAGGCGGCCCGGCTTGACATATCCTTGCACGTCTTGCAGTAGCTTTCTGTGGCCATCTTTGTAAGGGATTGTGTAGTTTACACCTTGCCAGGTGAATATCGACGTGCTTCGCGCGATCCCATGCACCTCATCACTGGAACCGTCTGTATCCTTCTCTTGGAACCCGTTGGTGGTTCTTGTTCGATCACTTCCCGTTTCCACATCCCCTGGAAGTTCTTTATTCTTGACAGCCTCCTGCACAGCCTCGGGCGCTTCGCCTTTCTTGAAGATTGTAACCGTGCTGCCTCCTTTGTTGGGCTTCTGGAGCTCCATTCCGACCATTGTCAAACATACAAACAGGACAAACCAAGCTATGACAATACCGAAGTTTCGCCATAAATGGGATCGACTGTAAGTGAAGGCAGTCTGTATGTAGTTTGATCCCTGCACAACAAGCTGATTTGGCGTACTTCCTTCGATCGCACAGACTTGGTTGCCAGGCTGTGCACTGGGTCCATCCGGAAATATGGACGGGGAGACACACTGCAGATTCAAATCATAGAATTCATTCGACATGATCGCCTCAAACGCGTACTGCAATGGATTGATCCAGATTAACCATTTGAGCCAAGGATGCATTTTCCATGGTGGAATGAGATATCCTGGGTATCTTCAGTACGAATTCTCAATAAGTGGCTGATACGCCTTACCAGTGTATACTATCAGCGCTTGGACAGAAACTCCAGTTACACGGGTAGCTACATTTCTTGGTCAACTCATGTAGAGAATATCCTTCGGCTTTACATACCAACGTCGAGAGAAGCACTCAGTGCTCCGATAGTCCGGAAGAATGAGTACATGGTCATGGTCAGAATGAAAACGAATAAGAAGTTGATGAAGAACTGAGACGCAGTCCGTGAAAGGTTGGACATGCTGAATATATCGATTAGCCTCAATCAGCAGTAAATGTAGTAGAGTTGCATACAAGTAAACAATCAGCTCGAAAATGGTGATCTGAATGAACACAATGGGAACATCGACAACCACTTGAGCCAAGGCATATGCCGCTGGACGATAGAAGGAGCTGGTAAAGTCAGCTTATTGCAAAAATATGCGTGCCATGTCCCACTCACAAACTCTTATGTTTCAAAATGACCGGTCGACTTCCATAGAGAGCCGTAAGCTCTGCCATAGCCAGCAGGGAGTTGAATAGTAATACGTAAAACATGACACCGCCTCTGGTAAAGACACCAGCGCTATGAAAGTCGTCAGATCACTTTTTGATAGGCGTGGGTGATGGGTCATTGGGACTAACCTTGTCTGGGGCAGGTCATAGAAGAGACTACCGATGATGAGAGCCTGGAAGGTGAGCATCACCCATTTTCCGATGAGCGTCTGCTTATCCCCGTACATGACGAGGAATTGCCGTTGAGTCAGTATAACAACCTGTTTATAGAAAGACACTGTATAGTTTTGCTTTTTCTTCTTTTCCCTGGCTTGCTCACACGCCTGCTGCTCCGACTCGATCTCTTTTTCGAAGTTTTCGATATCTGCCTTGGCCTCCTTGCATATATCACTCTTCCGATATGCTCTCTGAAAGTCTTCCCCAGAACGCGGAACTCGATCCTCCCAACCTTCCTTGATACGTCGCGCATATGGGTCACTGACAGACGTCAAGAAATCAGGTGTGGTCCATCGAGGAGGGCACACAAACCCCAGACGCTCGAAGTATGCCTTGGCGTTTTCGGTGCGTCCGTAGTAGGCACATTTGCCTTCCTCGATCAGCATGACTTTGTCGAAGAGATTGTAGAGATTTTCTGAGGCTTGGTAGAGAGCCACGAGTGTAGAGGCATGTGCCATGTCTGTTGAGCTTCTCAGGCTTTCCACGTATTCCAGAGCCGTGCTAGCATCGAGGCCTTTGGTGGAATTATCCCAGCATTGCGTGCTGGCTTTCGTGATTAGGGCTTCGCCAATAGACACACGCTTCTTCTCTCCTCCAGAAACTCCGCGAATGAGTTCATTACCGACCTTAGTCCCCAGTGCATGCTCTATCCAGAACAACTTGGCAATGGTAGAAAGAAATGTCTCCTGGTAGTGATTTCTACTTTCACCAGGCAGTCGTGATGCTTTATCCGGGGTTCTTGACTTGAGAGCAAACATCAAGGTGTCGCGTACAGTGAGCGTGGGGTAGTGGAGGTCATCTTCGGGGTTGTAGAGAACTTCCGAACGGTAGTTTTTGGCCATGGTTCCGGCATCTGCACCTCCGTAGCGAACATCACCTTCCACGCTTTTGTAGCCAGATCGTTGATTTCCGATGACCTTTAAAAACGTAGAGCAACCGGACCCCGGACGACCAAGAACCAGAAGCATTTCCCCCGGCCGTACACATCCGTTGAAGTCATCTAGGATGGTTCGCAGTGGTGCGCTCTTCCTCCCACCGGTGAGGAGGCCTTTGATCAATCTCGGTAAACCCAAGAGGATGTCAGTGTTTGTGGGCTGGAGGGCTGCTCCTAGACCAACACCTCTGACCGTCAGGTCTTTCCACACCACACCAAGATGTCTTGTTTTTTCCTCTTCTGAGTTGGCCTTCCTTTCCTGGCCAAACATCCGCGAAACCAACCTCGCTATCTGATCCGTATCATCGGCCCCCGCGGCCCCAGTGCTGCGTCGTTGAGAAAGGGCGCGAGCAATATCCTGTTGCGTGAGCTGCCTCTGAAGTGAGGACTCCTGTCGGATCACATTCTCATTCGAGACTTGATGCTCTACAGGTATAGCCGATTGCTTTCTCGAAAGGCCCGAGCTACGCGACGCGCTTGAGCTCGAATCGAAAGAAGATTCCAGTGGAGCTTTTTTCTCGTCTTCTTTGGGAACAAAGCGTGGTTCGCTGGGAGGGGAGCGTCCCGAGTCCATGTTGATAGTGATGCGACACTAGCTACCAGAAATATAACATATCAATCAGTAAAGTAACGGCAGAGACAATACCCGATGTTGGCTTGAAACAGAAGTCAAGAGACACAACAGGGGGATGAGCGAAAGCAATGGGCTTCTGTGTGCCCTTATCTCTCTACACTCTACATTCCGCGTTAAGTACCGGCATTGTCGGAGCTTGCTGAAGACCGATGCAACTTCACCACCAAGCTCTAGCTTTCGACCAGCAGAGTGAAGTATGGATCGGACAACATGACGACCGAGATGCCGATCGTGGGATCGAATAAGCATGCATCAAGTGATTAGATAAGTTCGGATGATGGAAGAAGGTGTGAGAGAAGACCCTGAATGAACCATGGCTTAAGCTTGATGTCGTCGATAGTTTCCGTGGATCATGGTGAGGTCATCATCTGCGGATCTGGACCAGATCGGTAATCGGATGCGGTTTCTATTAGTCCTCCATTGTCTTCAGTGACTCAAAGCATTGTAACGGTCATAGAATTGAAGCAAGGAGGAAGACAAGAGCTGGAAGACTCAGCTTGCGTACTCTCCCACATTTTGCTCGACACAAAATCAGCCCAGGTATGGAAGCTATCAGCCACTCGAAGAGGGGTCTGGGTTGTTCTATAGATAAGTCCAGGTTGGATGATCTTTTATCAAGGCAGCAAATTCCAATGTCGCAGTTGGATGGTCTGTCTCACCTTTGACAGCATTACTGGGGTGCAGTTGTGGGTAATGGAATGAAGGGGGGTGAAAGAGAAGGAAGATGGCTTGGCTGCATCCAGAAGAGAGAGAAGAGCCGCCACTCTGCTTTTCCGCCTCACTCTCTTCTCTCCTCTTTACCCCCATCCTCCATTAACTTTGTTACCTCTTCCTCAACTTCTCTCTAATATCCTTGGAGAAAGAATCGAGGGGTGTCTAGCTGACCCCAACAACAGCCTGTACCCTTCATGCTATAACACCTCTTACACGTTGCCCGAATCCGAAGGTGGCTGGCTTATTGGCCCAGCGTCTGACCCTGGCTCGGTCTGGCTCCATAAGGCTACTGATTGACTGCCCAGGTTTTTGCATTATATTCATTATACGTGGAATCCCGTGAATGATATATCCAATGCTGAGTTTGGATTTTCGGAGCCGTTTGAGGCGTACAAGACTCTGCGCGAGGATATATTGACGGATCCTCTGAGGACCCTCTATTATCATGACTATGTGCAGGCGATGTTGATGGCTGTTCAGGAAGGGGTAAAACTTGTGGGGTGCTCGGCTTGGAGTATGGCTGATAATTTTGGGTGGAGGGCTGGGTATTCTGTTAGGTTTGGAATACAGGTAAGTTATGACATGGCGTTTACTGACATTGTTGGTTTGTAGTATATCAACTTGACTACGCAAGAGCGCTTCTACACGGCAAGTTTCTCTAAACTGGCGACTTTGTACCGCACGTATATCCAGGGCTAGCGGAATGCGTCTGGTCAAAGGTCTGCCACTGCGTTGTCATACATATCGTAACGAATGCTATTACCTGAATATATCTATATAGTATCCATACCGCATACATGCATCACACCCACCTCCTCCTCCGTCTCTTGACAAAGGTTTCCCATCCATCCCTTACATTCAAATTAGGAGTTATCCCCTTGTCTTGATAAAAAGAACGAAGATAATCCAAAGCCGGCGTATGACCACTAACCTCCATGTCCGAACCAATTTCCCGACGACCTGGTAAAAACAGAGGGATATACAATATAAGATCCGGCGCTGTCGAGGCATTACACAAGCCCATACCCTCCATATATTCCAGTAACCAAGAGCCTGAGCGGTCTCCCCACCAGTAAACGGTAGCATAATCCATCAAGCCATGGAGTTCGCCATGAAATACCAGGATTTCGAAAAGCATTTCCATGCGCACACCGTCATTCGGCGGCTCAGGTCCCATCTCGCTTACGCCCTAACAAACGCATAACGCACATTAAAAAAGCCACCCCCACCCAATGAAGTAGATCAGATCGACTAACTAACCTGTATCTCACATCTCTCCCGAAACCCCGTATCATCCCCAATATGGCTAACGATCCCCAATGAACGCGCAGGAGGCTGTTGGACTAGCATCCGGCGCCAACTTGCGTTTTCTCGCATGTATATTTCTGTCCTGGTGGGGTCTCTGACCATGTGGAAAGTGTCGAAGGTAAGTTTGCTTTCTGTGTGCTCGGGGAAGACGGTACTATTCTGTTGGAAGATCCCTGGAAAGGCTTCTGCTAGTAGAGGGTTGAGGACTCCCTGTGAGGAATTGTGGTTGCGGCGTCTAAATGGTTGTATGAATAGTGCTTGTTGGATGGGACGGGAGTTACTGATTGTGTAGTTCCAGAAACGATTGACGCGGGACGTTGAGGTAAGGATTGTGCGTATATCTAGTTCGAGGAGGATGTATTCTAGGATGGTGCGGACGGAGAGGACGGTTTGGATGCTGTTGTGGGATTCCATAATGATGATTGTTATATTAGGTTGGGGGTGGGTGGGTTTAGTCTGGAGGTCATTACTTTACTTTTATATAGCAGAGGCTATGGCGTTCTTCGTCAGGCAAGAGCTACAAAATAGCGTGATGCTGGGTCGTAGTTTCCTGTTCTATTGATTTCATCTTGGTTATTTTTGACGCGAGATTACAGTCATCTCAAAGCCGATGAAAAGATGAACTCAAAAGGTCAAATGCGATTAATGTAGGTATCTTCTAAAGAAAAGCAAGTCTATATACATTATTAAGCAAGATTTTCGAAACTGCCGACATATGTTTACCTCTGATTACGGGTTGACAATTGAAGGACTATACCCGTCGTTCTCTGCAGAAATGATTATTGATCCCCGAGTCATTGAAACATTCGCCGGATTGATCACTGGAACAGGGGCGTCATCCCAATTGGAAACAACTGTATCCTCTCCAGCCAGTATGCGGTTGATGTTCAGCATCGTACTGTACATAACCCCGTGACTGGAGATGGGATGGACGTCCTCATTCCCGCCATGAATATCAGATTCCTTCGAGGAGGGCCCAGCGGGATGATATCCACCTGTTAAGGATGGGTAGACCGCAAAGCACCGGAGGTAGCCATTGCCGCACATGCGACCAAGCGATACGTCGAACTGAGCACCAATGTCGATTTTATCGGCGAGACCTGTCGGGTTCACGGAAAGAGCGGCCAGGATTTTCTGAGCACCACGGTAGGTCACAGCATAGACAATTGAGCAAACTGCATCGTCGACGGCGCAGGTCAGACGGCTATAGTCTGGTACCCCGAATGAGGGTGGATCGCGCCAGTAGGGCAGGAAGTGATGTGGCGGGAGGACGGTTGTATCATTCGAGCTCACGAAATATGGATCGTTTTCTCGACATGACACTCCACAGTGACCAAGCCAGATGATGTCCCAGTCGTCACCGTACGGTGAAGCGGTCACCTTGTTATCCGCACCCTGGAGAGCCCGGACGCCGAAAGCAAAACTCTGTAGCTGGGTCTTGAGGTTTACGTCCCAGTCGACATCATCCTCCATGATCATGGCACTTCCTAATCTTTCATGAACAATTCTGGAGGTGCATGTTTAGCCAGATATCTGAGGAAGGGGGCAGCTTATGGCATACCGTTGCATGGCATTCACATGAGCCCGTCGAGCTCCATACTCGGTAGGCTTGTGGTCATAGTTCCAGTTCTGAAATGTCAGTGGCATGCATCCCATTGGTTAGCGTTGTCAAGGACTCACATAAGGGTACGTCCTGGGGTCAACCTCGTCGGGAGTGATACCGTTAACCCAGTCGATGTTAAACCCACTGACTGAAGAGCCAAGGACAAGGTTGTCGCGCTTGTCAACCCTGCTAGGCAGGTTGATCGCAAATATTTTCTGGACCTATACATAATTAGTGTGGGGGCTAATGTCAACTTCATTGGAGGGAAGTACCCCTAGAGTCTCGTTCCTGATATCCTCGAGCTGAGACCGGGCGCTTCTAGCTCCTATCCGCACGGTGGGCCGAGCATAAGGCAACTGCCATAGAATGAGGAGGATCCCGAGCACCCCCAGCGCATAGAGAATCAGCCGGCCGAACCGTTTTTGTGATGTGATTAACATTATCAGTTGGACCAGACTGAGAGTCAACCGGATCGTGAAAGGCGACAAGGCAATCCCCCAATCTTTCAATTCCCCTGAATCTCTGCCTAGGCTTAGGTGGCTAGTCTACTAGATCTGGGGCTAAAGAAGTGGAACGGCGCCGGGCGGGGCTCAGCTGTCTGGTCTGACTTTTGCCTGGACACTTTGATGACTCTTTGTAAGTGGCTTCGAGTCACTCCAGAGTTAATTTAGGTTATAAATTCTCAAAATCCTGCGAGTGCCAGTTGCTAGTCCACCTGGTGCTAGCCCTGACGCGCGGAAGCCAGGGTCCGGGGAACTCATGGGTTGGCGCCTAGTTCGACTACTGAAACGTCGGGTCTCCGCGCCATCAGTTGGTGTACACAGTAGTGCGCATCAGAGTGATATGACTGGTTAATGTGCGATGATACTAATATTTGTCGTTCTTAAAATATCTAACCGTCTGGCCTGCAAGCGAGAGGGGCCAAGTAACTGCTCGCCTCCACGTAATACCCATTATTTAAGTCATCCTGACTATTACAAACCCAAAGTCAACCCCTGCAGTCGAGCCGGAATGCCAGCTTCAAGCGGAAGTCGTGACGCCATTCCCGTGTTATGACCGTGACATCCGGAGGTTGATGGGGAATGTCATGTTCCGAACAGCCCAGACCAACTGCATACCAAGCCGGTTGGGAGTAAGCGGCTGCGGGTACCGCAGATCACAAATTTAATTACAACAGACATGCATGAGGCGCTCTTTGTTTGACGTGACTACGATGTAGGGAGGTTTCATTGGTGGCCTTGAGTTAGCGCGTTGGATTTTCCAGCGTGTTTTGATAAAGATTAGTTACGGCTACATAAATTCATGTTTTGCCGCAAACATCCAACGATGGCTGGTTGGTGTAGTTGGTTATCACGTATCGTTAACACCGATAAGGTCCTGGGATCGAGCCCCAGACTGGTCATTTTTTTTATTCTTTATTTTTTTCCCCCTAAAAACACATAGATGCTTCTTTGCCTCTCATCCTCGTCTTCTTCTAGCTTTATTGAACTGGAATAGTATGTCCTGGTCCTCATATCCTTCCCGGAGAACCGTATACCTCCCCATCTGTAGTTATCGCATTTATGTACATTTGCCTGCACCAACCACCCCTATACATCGATATTTCTCCGCACACCATCGGTTGTTATTTCTCCGAATGTCAAAGTCTCGCAATCCAGTATAATATATTCCTTCCACTATTCCATCTAAGCCCTGCAAAGAAAACTAAGACATCTGTCCTAACAACCCCGCCATGAGCACTACTTCATCGATGCCAATCCAAGAAACAGCACTTAGTATGCACCAACTTCCGATATAATCCGTGCCTGACAACCCCACCTCCAATGTAGCTCATGTACCCAAGCTTAAGCACAAACTAGACCCTTCAACTCCGCACCAAGCCCACTTTCACAATTCAATTTCCTCCTCCATAGTAGCCATCTTCCCCTACCAATATGACCGTCCGCGTCTTCATCTACGGCTACCGCAAGCCCGGCCTTTCTCTGTCCACCTTCCGAGAGCGTTACGAAGCACACATCGATCTCGTGAGACGTATCTCCGGCGAAGACTTCCCACTCTCGCACCGCCGTACCTATATAGCTCGCACAACCGTCGATACCCCACCTGCTGGGGCGACGGCCCGCAACGCCACAACCCCGGCGACTATCCTTCAAGGCCAGCAGTCGGACTTTGATTTTGATACGACGGCGGAACTGACCTTTGCTGATCAGCCTTCTTTCCAGGCTTTCATGGCTAAGGTGACGGCTCCTGAGGCGGCGGCGCAAATTGCGGAGGATGAGGAGCGGTTTTTTGATCGGAAGATGTTGAGTTTTGCTATGATTGGGGAGGTGGTGGAAACGAGGAAGTAGGGGTTGCTTGAGTGGTAAATAGGGCCAAGTTGTGCGTCCTTTGCTGCTAACTCTAGGTTTGTTTCTTATCTGGATGGTGCAGTGGCTAATTTCTTGTGTTTTCAGGGCAAAGGGAAGGTACAATTTAGTAGTAGACATGATGTTTGCTAATTTCTCTACTGCATGTATGGGCGCCTTGCCTCACTGCGTGCCTAAAACCAGATTGGAGCTTGAGGTCTGTGAAGTAAGCGGCCTACTCGAACATGGGCACATGAGAAGAATTGTCTGCGTCTTAACAAAAGGCAATGGTCAGAATCTGTGTATCAGATACTCCGCTGGTATGACATTTCCTGGTGTAACCTACACTACTACTAGCTGTGAAGAAGCTGGTTTTCCTGAGTGAGATGATGACCACTAGCATATGAGGTGAATGAGGGGAATCAGAGACATAGAGTCATTTATATCGAGCCAAAGATAAGCTTTACACCTTCAATCAAGGGCATATACTGAGCATTTTAGTTGACCAAGGAAAGAACTACCGGTGATATGCCTACCCGCCGAAGGCGAAACAGGGCTCGGCTTACTTTCTGAGTAGGCGGAACGAAGATGGCAGGTAGATATAGTGGATATACCGGGAACTAGGCCTTGCACGAGAGACTATTAACCTAACAAAACTATCTTTAACCATCATCACCAGGATATTTCACCTTTCAACCTACTAAAATTCACAATCAAGCAAAGTTCAGAATGAAGCAGTTATTCTTGAGCACCCTAAGGCGGCACTACACGGCAGAACAAGCAAGCATCAGTCCAGTGCGCCCAAGCCGTGCACTAACACTTTTAGCGCCCAATAAGCTCAGCAATCATGGATCCGTTTCTTATCCCCAGCCACCCGCAACAGGGGAGCAAAAAATCAACATGGCTGGGCCACGTTCACGCCCACGCCAATTCCCCTTTTATAATCGGGAGCTGCGTGGTTTTTCATTCTTTCCCTTCTCCCCCATTCCCCGTGCTACTCAAATTGGGGTTATTCAGGGCTCTCTACATACAAGCTCTGTCAGGGTGGAATTCCACACCCATTGTTTACTATCTACATTCCGGTCGGCTATCCACATCCATATCTTATCGATAGATTGATTGGGGATCTATACCTGCAAACTACCATCATCAGCAGCACCACCACAATAGATACTATCCCTTCTCATCAGGAAGCATTACGACTTTCCGCCAATACTTCATTCTCCAATCTTGAAAGTTAAAAAGACAAAGAAGAAACCCACCAAAATGCAAGAAAACATCGCCATCGCCGTCATTATCATCGTCCTATTCATCATCCTCGCCATCGCAGGGTACTTCATTCACACAATGAAGAACCGCATTGCGCACTCCCGGAAACGCGCAATCGACGAAGAAAGCGGTGGTGAAGCTGACGCCTAAATTCCAAATCGAAGATTGCCCAGCTTTCTTCCGCTCATTGAAGCATTTCTGTCACGAAAACTACGAGACTACGATTGAGTGATCTGATCGATTCGACGACTTAACGGCTTAGCTCACTGCGATTATTGCGCGCTATTACTATTACGCATTATTCACGATTCAATGCTCATGGAACATGATGTTGGCTGATATGAAATATTTGCATTCATGCATGGGGTTTATGTCATGATTGTTTTTTTCTTCGATTGTCTTGGGTACGGAGTACTTCTGCATATGCATTGTTGACTGATTCTTTATACGCTGTGTGTGTCTGGTTCTTATATACATGCTGTAAAAAGCGTTCATTGTCTGCGTCGGACGGGATCTGACCGTTTGTTTACTGATTCTCGGGGTTGATGGTTTGGATTGGTGTTTTGTGGTATATGTATATGCTCCCTTCTCTTTTCATACATTATTCTGCTTGTTACTGCTGGCTAGCTATATACTAGTACTAGTAGCCATTGTTCTAAATCAGCTACTATCTATGCTGCTCTCCGCAACCATGTCTCCTTCCTTCACAGTATAAAGCTAAATCCAGACCCAGAATAGTATAAGTAGTAACTATAAATATCGAAGCGTTACCACTCTATAGCATCTGTGATGGCAGTCCACGTGTCTGGCAAGTTCCTCCTCTAACCTGTCATCATCCGTTTAGACCCTAACTACCTTACGCATTCTCGGTTTCTTCCGTTCGCAGTTCCCTAATCCTTCTGGCAAGCTCCGTCAGGCAGTAACTGGACAATTACTTATAAAACGCTTTGGGAAAGGGTTCTGATACCAGTATTCCCCGAATATACTATGTTTTAGACCTTCACTAAGTGCTAGAGGTAATTTGAAGTCATTCCTGCACATACGTTGACTGTCCTATCCCGATGAATAAGAGGGGCGATTCCCCATTCCCCGGTCTCTATTCATGATATTTCTTCACTCATACCTTTCTCTTCCCTATATATATAGCTGGACTTCTTCTCCTCCTCCTCCTCCTCCTCCCCCTCTCTCTCATCTTCATTTCCCTCCCTATCCTCTACACTACTACTATATGTACATGATCCGCTCTCTACTTCGTTCTGGACAGCATGACTTACTATACTATGATATTAGTATATAAGCAGCATCAGTGTCGCTGGGTCTTTCCAAAGTACCAATCGACACTTCTGTCGGTTTACATCCACTACCAACACAGAAAAGAACATGTTACAGTAGCACCCATTGCTCTCTCACCAAAGCAAACATGGGGTCCTCTACTGCGAGTCTATCAGACGATAGACTGCTCAGCATAAGCCGCACCGAACCATCATCCCCTCCGGTTTCTGAAGATGAGCAGCAGGCTATTTGGAAAATCTGCTCGGTCTTCCAAAGGAAGAGGTTCTTGGGGGCTATCTATTTCAGTGAAAATGATATGACTCTCAAAATATTTACCAGTAATGGTTTGCGCAAAACTGTTTCGATCACGGGGAAAAGACGCCGTGACCATGGAAAAAAGTCCTGGATTGCCATCTGGGGAATGAACTCAATTGCACCCGCGTCGGAGGTATGCATAAACCGCCTATGGATTATGTCTACTGCGAGGTCCTGTACCAGCCCGTTATAACGTACGTCACCGCTCAACACCCAAACGATCCGAATGGAGTGGCGGCCGCTCGGCGGGCCATGCGTGCCGCGATCGACATCCTCCAAGCGAACAATCAAGCCGCGAACCAAGCGAACAACCCTCAAGCTCAGAACCAGCAACCGTAATGGCGTCGGGACGTCGCCTTGCAGAGAGGGGGTGGTTGCAGCGGGCATGCCCGCTGCATAACTTGAGAAGAAGAAGTGTATCATGTATGAGCCAGAGGATACAGTTATTGCAGACGCCGCGGAGAAAAGTATCCAAGGCGTAGCTACAATGGCTGCGCATGTTGATTGGCATGCCGCACTCTCAGAGAGGGAGGTTCCATCGATTCAGAACCCGGCCTTCTCTCGCTTCTGTCACGCCAGAGGTACTCCAGCTACTCGGCTTACAGGCTGGGTAAGATGCAGCAGCAGGTTCCATCGATTACGACTCCCGGCCTTCTCTCGCCTCTGTCATCCTTGACAGACTGTGTTGGACGGACGGGACGGCGTGAGTTCCTCAGTCGTGCTATCTTACCCAGTCACACAGCCACAGTTTGAGCGAGAAGAAGCAGCAACAGGTTTCATCTATTTATTCCGACGTGAAGCCAACCGTCCTCCCCCTGGAAACAAGCACTGACGACATGCCGGTGAACAGGGACAGTCTCTCAGCAACCCCGGTCACGCTCGCGGAGACGCACGACCATCTATGCCTCGACGAGCGTCTGGCATGGCCGGGTACCCCCCTCTTCAGACTGTCAGCGCGTACATTAGCCCCTGGTCAGGAATGTTCTTACTATTCGGAGGCAGCCTCACTGTGGTCTGGGAAAGAGTGTGACAACCCTAACTGCCATTAACGAAGACAGTGTGACCAACGTCATCCACCGTTCCTCCCTCATTTTGTGCTCTACCGCCATAATAAGACATAATTCGCAGAGATCGAAAAGAATGTTTTGAAATCATCATTTTCCACGGCCAAGCCGTCCACACTGCCGAACTGGCACACAAGCAGGCGATCACTTCGAGTTCGTCTTCCTAATGGAGGAGAGGAAGTGATCCATTCAAGACTGGTGTGACTTGTACTTGTTATAATGAAGTTTTTTCATTCATCTCCAACCTTCCATCTTTTCTTTCCTATTCCAAGCTGCTATGTTATCTGTAACTTCGAAATGCACAAGACTTCCACCATGACCTTCCTTACTCGACTTCCTTGCCCGTCTCGATGCTAGTGAACCCTAGACGACCGGCACGATTATACATTATACCGTCCTCGTATGCCACGTGTTCTAAGAGGACCCTGATCGAGATATTTTCAAACGCGAACGCGAAGTCCGACAATGACGACGACCGCTCATCTTTTGATGATTCTTGAAGAGAAGAAACTCAAAATGGAAGAGCTACAGGCGGCTTGATAGTCACTTACTATCTCTCTATGTAATAGAATATATGGCAAGATATAAATCATAGCAGATTAACAGACAATCAACGCTACCAGCCAATAACATGTCCGGCAAAATTCAGGATTGTCCCAATTAATGCTCACCTCGTGAGTACTAGTGCTGCAGAGTATCGGGCCGATGGGCCCCAAGTCTACAAGTGAGAGTCGAGTCTGGCAGTACTGATCCAGAATCTATTACATATCAGAGAACAATAAGCGGCCTCGCTCAGGATCAAGTTCAATGTTTCCGTGGTCATGGAGCTCGTGTAGTTCTGATCAGCGTGGTATTCTGAAAGGGAAAAAAGAGTTGCTATTATCACGACATACTCTGATTAGAAGAAAAAGTACGTCCGCTGAATGACGAAGTCACTGGGAAGGCTCAATATAGCTTGGGAAGACATGGTAGAATTGCCACAGTTGACTCCATGCAGGGAGGGTCATGCATAGACTTATATCAGTACATTGCCATTGGGCAGTTGACTCAGGGACAAAGTCTGACTTAGGCTTTGCTACTAACAATCATCGTGCGAATGTCATCCTGACAAGAGCACGGGCCTGTTTGATCGCTGTAGCTAATGGAGCTATCATCGACAACAACTGTCTTGGGCCGATCGCGATGCCACTGCCAGGTAGGTTATCTGTGCACGCGGTTTAGAGATCAACGTCTAACCGGAGACCAGGGGTTTGGACTTCTGGGAGGGCCTGCAATGTGATAATCTCAACCCGGGAATATGGAGGATCGCGTGTTATACGTTCAGGAATGTACTGAATCTAGGGGACAATGTCCAGTATAGGATCCTTATAGCGGGTCTCCAAACTAAGCGATACCTCCTTCCGTACCAGGTGTACGGTGCCATCTGGATGTTGGCGTGCGAGGTGACGACCTACTTGCGCGGCGGATTTTTGGCTGATGACGTTGGCTATGGCGAGGTCGGTGCTCTCTGTTTTACCGTGTTCCATGTCTGCCGGCTAATTGTCTAATTCAATAGACACTCATGACCATTCTGACCGTGCTGACCTTAAGATGGATTGAAATCGCCATGCAGCGAGCTTACGCCAACCCCCACACCGGGCTTGATGATACCCCCTGCGGACACGACACAGACCTCCCCATCTGATGTCCCTGCCGATTGAGCGCGCTGAATCATGTACTTTCTAGAATCCGCCGGGGTACTAATTGTATCTTCGTGGAAGCCTTATTAGAAACCGGATCAGGGAGTGGGAGTTGATTGTTGATCCCAACGACCTCCATATCCACGCAATGGTCGTGCTACAGGGATACGCGAGGACTCGCCAATCGAATATCCCGACCTGGCGCGCCTCGCCCGCTGTCCTGGCCCGTCCGTTTGAGGACTATGTCCGCCAGTTAGACCGATGGATAGAGGAAGTCCTGTCTGAAGACGACCCTGCGTGAGTACAGGCTCCATATCATAATATACACCCATTGCTGACATAGTCTTTATCCGGTTATAGTCCTCCTGCTCGATCTGGTGATAGTGCCGAGAACCCCCTCGTCGTCCCCGAGATTGACGATGAAGGCCACTTCTTGATGGTGAGTACCCCCCAGTTCTGAACACGCAGGGTTACGCTGACTCTGGGAGTTGGAAATAGGCGCGTGTAGGTTTTCGTCGTAGCCCTTCGTTGAGATCCTTAGATATCAAACTCGCCATCGGATAAAGTAGGAGAGATTTCTGGCAAAGCATAATGTTATCTAGCAAGATATACCGACGTCATAAATTGGTTCAAATACAGACCTGCCAGAAGAACTACCTATGGTACTCACAAAAACCGGGACGTTGTGTTGTAGTTTTACTCCAGTAAGGGCTTTAGCCGATTAACGTGTCCCAGCGCAACGCACAATGAGCAGCTCTTCATGCCCGGACTTGAGAAATAATAAGCGAGGCAATTACAGCGGGCTGAACGAGTCGAATTTCTAGAAGTGCAGAAAATATAGTATATAGTGAGATTTGCCTAAACGGGGAAGGGGGGGGATACCGTGACCTTTGTAAAATAGTGGTAGTAACTATTTGCTAGTTAGTTATATCGAGAGTCGTTTGGATGCCCAAAATTAGAGAAAGTCACCGTCATAGTCCAGGAAAGCATAATATAGTTTTCAAAATCCGCCGGAGGTATACTGTTCCCATGGCAGGTAGAACATCAAGTATTTTGTAATTACGTTAGAACTGATTTTCGAGCCCCGCGGTACTAGTAGTAGTATTTCGTTTCCCATCCCGTGACTGCTGTAGCCGATACTATATATTGCTGATGTACGGAATCCGCATAATGACCCTGGGACACTTGTCTATATGAATAATTGTTTCCCGAGACCTCGGTATCATTCCGCTGCTCACCATTTATTTGAACATTGTAGACGTCCTTTTATGCTAATAGAGAGTTATCTGCTTAGCTTTATGCATTATAGTTTACCCGATACACACTAAATTTTTGGAAACATACAACATGCCTCCTTCATCCGATAATCTTGAGTCCTCCCTTGGTCTTTCCATGCTTTTTGACGCCATCATGCTTGACCTTACCACTGCCGGAGCCACCACCCGAACCGCCACCACCACCATGCTTCTTCCCATTTTTCGTGTTGGATACGGGACGGACCTCCGTGGTGGCTCGTCGGAGCAGAACCGGATGCGAGCCAATGTACTTGCCCTGCATCTCTCTCGCGGCCTTGAAATAGTCGTCGCCGTCGCTGAAGCTGACGAAGCCGTAACCTTTACTCTTCTGGGTACGTTTGTCGCGGATTACTCGGGCCTTTTGAACGGAGGTGTACTTGGAGAATGCCTTGAGTAGCGAATCGTCCGTGACCTCTCCAGCCAGGTTGCCTACAAACAAGCGGAAGTGTGCGGGATCCCACTCAAGGAGGGTCGAATCGGACCAGGTCTGACCACCGCCGGCACGAACCACAGTCTTCGGGGCAGGCTCCGGGTTACCCACGGTGGGTGCTGGCGTGTTAGCCGCTGTATTGGAACCGGATGGGGTATTGGCACCAGAAGCGGGACCAGCAACACCCGGGTTGACACCCGGGCGACCAGGGACCTTGCCGGCTACGGGCATCTCCTCCTTGTTTACGTAGGCACTCTGCCACTGTGCAATCTGGGCTTCCGTTTCAGGGTCCAGCCCCGATTCATTCCGGCCAAAGTTCCTCCCACGCATGCCATAGGCGCCAGACTGATCGCCTCCTGCTGGCGTGAAGGGGTTTTGAATTCGAGGTACAGACGGACCGTATGTGTTATCATTGTACTGGGCGGCCCCGTAGTAAGAAGGGCCGCTTTGATATGACGCTTGCGCCTGAGGGTAGTAGCCACCGTAACTGCCCGTGGTCGGTGTTGAATATCCACTAGATGTAGTGGGCGGAGCGGACACGACAGGGCTGCTGGTACGGTAAGATTGACTGGAAGCTACTGAGCGAGGCTGGAATGCTGTGATGGCGCTGTAGCCCGGTCGAGACCCGTTTCCGCCATAGCTGCTATTTGCGCCTGACGGTGCCGCCGAGTATGCAGGTTGAAAGGTAGATGGTGAGGCAGCACTTGCTGTCGCCGGCGGCCGGGGAGGGAGAGATGACGGGGCTTGTCTGAGACCTGGAGGTGGCGGAAAGGACATGATGAACGGAGAGTCCGATATATAGTATAGAGAGAAAGGTGGTGGATGATGTGATGCGCCGTGTGCAAACTAGCAGCAGACACGTACCTTCAGGGTTTGACTGACGCAGCAGTCATACGCCAGACGTCACGCCTGAAAAAGGTTCCGAATCTTGATGGGGGGAAAGGACTAGTGATGAGCCTTTCTAGATCTTTCCTTGCACTAGTACAGAGACAGGTGAGTAGACAGAAGGCGAAGTGGTGGTGGAATATCTAACAATTCCTTGCTGTAGAGTGTGAAGAGGCGACGGCGGTCCCGATAGTCAGATGGGTAGTGTATCGAGTAATTGCGAACCGTGTGCTGTTGGGAGGTTCGGGTTGGCAAGCTTGGTGGCCCAGATGACGGATGAAGTCCAGCGCGGCAGGAGAGAAAAGACCGCATGAATGGTTTTTCTCGCCTCCCGTTCGATGCAAACCGGGCATCGTCCATACCACGTGACTTTAACCATTAAACTCACGTGATGAAACAGCTGGCCGGCCAGGCTGACCTCCTGAGTCAGCCAGCCAAGCACAACTTTTGAGCCCCCAACGGATTTCCCACATGTGATGCAACCCCCACCCTAATCCCCTTGGGAAATGCAGTAGCCGACCGCCGGGGGGAGGATCGTCCCTATAGGAGGGCATCGTGCCAATTCCATCACGAGAGGAAAAGACCGGTGCGGGATGAAGATAAGAAGTCCCCGGAAATAGCGACCAGTTTCTCCGGCTTATGGATTCTTCTCCTCCGCGGGGTCTAGATACCCAACGAATTCCGATGGCTGGGATACCGAAGGGCCCTCGAAAAGCAGAACATACTATGACAATGCCACTCTACATACAGGAGGAAGTCCGATGCCGTACCCGATAGATAGGCATTGTTGATACACTTGGAATGGGGTGATGGAGGAACCACTGTCTGAACCAACAGTAACAGTGAATTACTGTTCGCAGTTAGACAAGATGGGGAAGAGTGGAGGGGAGACCGATTTATCCGCCTCCGAAGGTGCTTCACCGAACGTGTTCTGGGAAGTCTGGGAATTTCGGTCCCTTTTTTGACTGTTGCTGGGCCGATGTAGGAATTAGGAAACGCGGGCTTTTATTACCTGCGTTACGGGCGTATTTTGCTGCGGCCGGCAAGTGCCCCTCCATGCCCCGCCATCTTTGAAGCTCCTTGCAACACCGTCATCTCCGAACATGTCATCCCTAGGGAATCAATTGGCGATTGGAGTCGAGTAATGTAGGTGTCTGTCATCAATAAGGAATTGATGAAACTGAAATATTCAATCTGGAAGAAGGAATAATGTAGAGGTCGTATTTTACGAGGATGACAGTGAAAAATGGTGGGGGGGGCTTTTATAGCAGTAAATGGTAAGTAGTAGGTGTATGCATGCTTGTTGTATTACCCAAACTAGATTTAATTTCAAAGAAAGAACAGCCATCACTACATGTTAGATACTCCTTACTATAGTTACTCACATAACAATTATTACTCACCAACCATCTATCCGCGGGCTTCCATGTATGTTCCGGTACCAAACTCCCTCTCCCACCGGTGTACTTTACTACTAAGTCTTGTTCACCGGAGGACTCTGCTCCTCTCTTGCTCAGGTGCTGCCCCGCCCTCCGTCCCACCATGACGGAAGAGCTGCTCCGTAAGCCGTCCAGTTGCAGCGAATCCTGCTCTGACATCTTCGAACGCCTTCTCCCTTTCGCTCGCTTCTCTTCCTCTTCCTCTCTTTCCCTTCCTTCCCCTCCAAACTAAAACCTTCCTCCTTTTCTCCATCTTCCTCTAGGCAGTTAGTTCTTCCTGACTGTACATATATCCACCACCTCCCCCTCTCCTCTACTCTTCCACCTCTTCCATATCTCCATTTCCAGAGTCTCATACCCCCCCCACTATTTCATCATGGCTGACCAAGCTGTGTAAGTACCCTGCGGCTACCATTGTTCTCTTTTCCCTTCCCCTATCCCCTTCCAAGCCTACATGTCACCTCAATCATCTGCTTTCACCCACAGCTTGGTACCCCTCCGACGCATCAATGTATGAGCCGGGAGAGATCCAGCTGTTCGTGAGTCAGCTGGAGAATGAAAAGACTGCTTCATATGGCTTCCAGGATCCATCTTCCATTGATTAGTGGTGATGGTGCAATAGACCGCCAGCTTCGTGGGGTTTGCGTCTCGACGTCATAGTAGCGTTAGAGGCAACGCAGCTTCACTCGTCCACCCCCAAATTGTCACATTTCTGCCCAGCTATTGACAGAGGATTTGGCAACTGACTTTAGCGCCCGTCTCGCCGGCATCAATGTCGGCGCTCCGGCGCGTCCTTTGCCTAGTGCTGATTTCGGTCTCATCGGTCTGGCCGTTATGGGTCAGAACCTGATCCTTAACGCTGCTGACCACGGCTTCACTGTTTGCGCCTACAACCGCACAACCTCCAAGGTTGACCGCTTCCTTGAGAATGAGGCCAAGGGTAAGCTCGCTCTGCCAGGATGCATCTCAGCCCTCAGATCGACTAACGATTTGGGTTATCAGGCAAGCCCATCGTCGGTGCTCACTCCGTTGAGGAGTTCTGCGCCAAGCTGAAGCGCCCCCGTCGTATCATGCTCCTTGTCATGGCCGGAAAGCCCGTTGACCAGTTCATCGAGTCTCTCCTGCCCCACCTTGAGAAGGGTGATATCATCATCGACGGTGGTAACTCCCACTTCCCCGACAGCAACCGCCGTACCAAGTACCTCGCCGAGAAGGGCATCCGCTTCGTCGGCAGCGGTGTCTCCGGTGGTGAGGAGGGTGCCCGTTACGGCCCCTCCCTCATGCCCGGTGGTAACGAGGAGGCCTGGCCCTACATCAAGGACGTCTTCCAGAGCATCTCCGCCAAGAGCGACGGCGAGGCCTGCTGCGACTGGGTTGGTGACGAGGGCGCTGGTCACTTCGTCAAGATGGTCCACAACGGTATCGAGTACGGTGACATGCAGCTGATCTGCGAGGTAAGCTTGAGACCATGCAACGATTGGATATAAGTGTATGGCAACTGACTCCTATGTTACAGGCCTACGACATCCTCAAGCGTGGTCTTGGTCTCCCCGCCAAGGAGATCGCCGATGTGTTCGCCAAGTGGAACAAGGGTGTTTTGGACTCTTTCCTCATCGAGATCACCCGTGACGTCCTTTACTTCAACGACAACGATGGCACTCCCCTCGTTGAGAAGATCCTCGACAAGGCTGGTCAGAAGGGTACCGGCAAGTGGACCGCCATCAACGCCCTCGACCTTGGCATGCCCGTCACTCTGATCGGCGAGGCTGTCTTCTCTCGCTGCCTGTCCGCCCTCAAGGACGAGCGTATCCGTGCCAGCGGCCTTCTCGACGGCCCTACCCCCGAATTCACCGGTGACAAGCAGGCTTTCATCGATGACCTCGAGCAGGCCCTGTACGCCTCCAAGATCATCTCCTACGCCCAGGGCTTCATGCTCATCCAGGAGGTAAGTCTGTCCACAGTATGGTTAGCCTCCTTTCGGCCACTGACAAGTTACTATAGGCTGCTCGTGAGTACGGCTGGAAGCTGAACAAGCCCTCCATTGCCCTCATGTGGCGTGGTGGTTGCATCATCCGCTCCGTCTTCCTCAAGGACATCACCAACGCTTACCGCAAGAACCCCGACCTTGAGAACCTCCTGTTCGACGAGTTCTTCAACACCGCCATCAAGAAGGCCCAGAGCGGCTGGAGAAACGTTGTTAGCAAGGGTGCTCTCTGGGGTATCCCCACCCCCGCTTTCAGCACTGCCCTCAGCTTCTACGACGGCTACCGCACCCGCGACCTCCCCGCCAACCTGCTGCAGGCCCAGCGTGACTACTTCGGTGCCCACACCTTCCGCATCAAGCCCGAGCACGCCAGCGAGACCTACCCCGAGGGCAAGGACATCCACGTCAACTGGACTGGACGCGGTGGTAACGTGTCTGCGTCCACCTACATTGCCTAAACGAAAATGCGATGTAAAACGCTGGACGTGGAGCCTCGCACTGGTCTAGCATGGGAACAGGCTGGGCTAGAATCAGGAGAGTTAACTAGTCGGGCTCCCCTGAGCACATAAACAAGAATGATGACGATCAAAACGACCAGCAAAACAGGAAATGAATTTCTATTATATTTTCATTAACATGTATCTAGATGTTTATTTTCTTTTCTTTTTCTTTTTTTGATGGGAAAAACGTATGGAATGAAATAGTCTTACGTTTCTTTTCACAAGTCTTCTAAACTGTAGTATAATAGTAGATTGAATCCTGTATCCTGATGAGTAGTGGGATGAATAAAGGACGTAGTTCCGAAGAGACAGAACTAACAGTTGAGGCTGGTGAAAGAGCAGCCAACTGGTGATTGCCGGAGGTGCTGCTCCGCCCTGGACTAAACCGGATTGGGCGACGGGAAGGTCGTGACTCCCTTTCGGCGGCCATCGTGTCAATCCAATGGTGCACAATCACACCACCATTCTGCCCAACTGCATGCCAGGACGCTGAGGAGCTTTCCCTCCCGGGCTGGTTGTACTTTATTGGCGTCGTATTCACTTCTGTGTTTGTTGTTTTACTGGATAGTTTATGTCTTTACTTTTTGTCGTTCCTTTACCCAACTACGACTAAGCTGCGGTTCCCGCCCGTCCCACTTTTGCTTGCTCCGCGCTCGAGTGCCATCGTCATTGCTGGTAACGACCGTGGCTTCCACCTAGCCTGGAATCCCATTCCGATCGATCATTTCGACCTGTGCTTGACCTGATTAGCCCTCACCGTGAGCAATCGTGTGTTTGGGGCATTTTCGACTCACTCCGCCATTGTTCCTCTGCAGAGACAGCCCAGCTACTGCCTGACTGTGGAGCCTGTCCTGTCCTGCACTGCTCTTGGTGGGATAGTTCAACTGTCTCCTGCCCGAGCATATGGCAGATAACAAGCGCCACAGCGTGGGAGTAAGAACATCTGCACAGGGATCGTCTGGTGCAACTGCAGGCCAGGGAATGGCTGGTGCCATGGTGCCTTTGGAGGTGGCATTGAGCCGTGCAATTGGCGCACGGTAAGCCTCGACCTATCATAGCACTGTTGAGCAGAGTTCCGTCTGTCCAGCAAGTGCTAACACCTGCATGCCTTTGCCAGAAAGCCTCTGGATGGATGTATAGAGATCTCAAGTTCATGCTGATATTGTGTTTTGTACAGTGTTCGTATCAGTACATCTCCGGTCGCCTCCACCATTGAGGGAACTCTGTTCACAGCCTGTCCGGTCACAAACCTCGTTGCCATCAATACTGCCGAAGAAGGCAAGTCACAGACCGGCGATTACCACGTCATCCCGGTGTCGCGCATACAATCCTTCCAAGTTCTTTCTTTGTCTCCGTCCAACACCGATGGGGCTTCTTTCTCTGATGCCGTACCGCCTTTGCACGCACTTGATATTCGCGCTCTGAAGGCGCGGGAGGCCGCTGCTGTCGGCAAGCTGCAGGAAGGTGAAGCACGTCGAGGCAAGGGAGTCACCAAGGAGGCACAGGATCTCTTTGACGCATTCAGTCGCACAATGCCGGCCCGGTGGGATGGAACCAAGATCATCGTAGCCGATGCCGTCTCCATTGCGGCTCCTTACCGCCCCGACGACTGCCGGCCGCTTGTGGCGGGTGACACGGCTGCTCTTGCCCGAGTACGCATGGTGGTAAGTTGGCCTTATACATAAGACAGGATACGTCTGACATTTGTGCAGCTTGAGATGGAGCGTAAGAAGATTGAACTGCGCAACGCGAGTGCAACTATTGGTAAGTCTAACCTACCCATCATTCAGAGGCGGGCCCGCTCGTATGAGGCATGGCGGCTAACAAGCTGACTCTAGGAGCCGGTGCTGCTGGACAACGTAAAGGGGGCTGAATACCACTTCCTAAATTTTTTTTACCCATCTGAAAGGCTCGATTTTGCCTCTTAGGTGCAGTGCCGGGGATGACGATTTGCGTAGGACCCATTTATCCTTGAACGCAATTTAGCGTATGATAAACCGGAGAATACGAGTTCTCCCTGATTGTCAATTATACACGGAAAGGATTGCGCGAGGGGCCATGGTCGACGGTCCTTCAAGCAGGCGCAGACATGGACAAGGGCGGCATGGCTTATACAGAAGCGGACTTGTACTTGACCAATGCTTGGTGCAGCGGACAAGCTTTCTGTCCTGGAAACCAGCGCATCATATAGGTCGGGAATGGAGCCTTGCCTTCTGGCATGTTCTTTAAATTTATTTCCATTAGATACAGGGGCCGCATGAATATGAGACCTATCTGATCTATTTATCTCCATTCTATGAACGACTACTGTATTAACCAGTTGTGCCATCAAGCAGCACACAGGACATAAAAATGTTGTTCCCATTAAGAATGACCGTCTCCCTACAGAATCAAAGTCTACACACTGCCTTCTTCCGATGAAAGCAAAAGAAATAGAATCCGATAAGACCAACGAATGGAGTCAACTTTGAGTTCCCTTTTTCCGAAAAAGCAACGACTGATTATTAGTTGCTTGATGTGTATAATGCATATTTATGGGAGATTGCTTATGTCGGGAATACAATAAGCAGTTCTGTTCAGCTGAGGCTTACCTTGGTACTATTGAACTATTAGATGGTTAGATCGCGGAAGAGAGAGAGAGAGGTATCGCTTTTGGCTGGGATGTGGGGATGGGCATATAGTGCGTGTGCTGAGTGAGTTGATTAGGTTGTGCATGGGTAGTCGCCTTACCCGGCTTATTTGGTACTCTATTGGTCTATGTTGTGTAGTGGTGCAGATAGACTGCTAGCTGCAGGGGGTAGTTGATTAGGGTGGATAGTATGTCAGAGATAACACACTCTTACACTCCGACTTTCTATCAATTATAACAGACGCATTACTATATTACTATGTACCACGAACCCATGGATTAGGGTCAGAATTGAAGTATAGATCGAAACCATGAGAAAGAAAATAAACACCAATGCTACAAGTACGCTTGCTCACATACGCATGATCATTTCCAGTCCTCCTGTCCATCCACACAAGTATCAGTGTTGACCAACTAGGATCAACGTGATTACATTCTTAAAACTGAGGACAAGTACGACTCGACGATTTCCTGGAAAGCGAACATGACATGTTCGTGGAACCTTTCACAAAACTCCCCAACCACGTGCATGTGGGACTTGAAATGATTTCGTTGAAAGGGTCCTGTCAAATCTCAAAATGAATGTACATTTACGTATCCCCTTTCATCCTCGAATATCCACTGAAAGAGCTTGGTCTCGTAGATTTTCCACACACTCAGTTTTAGGATAGGGTTTCCAATCGAACTAACTTAGAGTTCTTAGGCTAATATTACTTATGCAGTATCTAGATTTTAGACTCCCCGCAGTGAATTACTACAGAGAATGTTCATATGCCACATATCAACAACCATCAAAGCAACAGCAACTCAGCATCTCAATACTATTCTCTCAAGCCTACTGAATTATTACTTCATAGAACTCCCATACCATAGACCACAATACCATCCTCAACAGACCCTGGACCCTTACCATACTGCACCTCCATAAAAACCCCCCTTTCATATGACCTTTTAATACCCAACCCATAAAACCACTCTATATACCACTGCCTGCAATCTACCCCACGCGAGGTAAATGCGCTACAAGCGGTTCCAAACAAACATTACATCAAGTTCACCACCTGAAGGATCAACTTTCACCTCGTGACAGATACGTGGTCCATGCAGGTGAAGATATGTGGGCGTATGCCACTGGCTAGAACCAAAGGAATTGTTTTTCTTGGGGAGTTCGATCCCGAGCCATTCCTGGCCTTAGAAATTAGAGGAAGTTGATAGGGGTGGTGGATTGGCTTTACAACCTTTAAGATAGCTTTTATGCATAGTATTCAAACACACTGTACTACCAACTAGGTAGCTGAGTGCTGAGTGGTACGAACATGGTTCTGGATTAGGGATGGTATAGTCAATGCTCTTATACTTATACCACTCCCTTCTGATGGGGGCCTGATTCTGGGGTCAATTCTTTTGTCTATTAGTAGTATATGCAGTTTATAGCATTGTAATATGACCCCGAGCCGCAAGTTCAATACATAGAATAAGTATAACTAGCGATCCAAATCTAAACTCGATCATATCATATCTGGTAGTTGGAGAATAGACTCAGACATAAATTTCAAGCAGAGAATAATTCTTTCCTATCAACCTCCTCCTATAACACCCAACATCATCCACTCTCAACATATCAAACCGTCATCTGTCTGTTTCCCGCCCCCCTCCACCGGCATGCCCTTCTACTTACTCATAACCCACAAAACCCTAATAATTTACTTACTACAACTAACACACTCATCCCAACCAGCTACCTCCCTCCCTCCCCTCTATCACATATACCTCACCCCCAAACCACACATCTTCAGACAGACAACGATGCCCCGCAAATGCCCGACGTGCGGCAACACTGGCGCAATAACAACCACGTGCGCGAACTGCCAAGGATCCGGCGGATGGTGGAAATCGACACGCACGATCTGTGATCGATGCGGGGGCACGACGGTCGTGAACTCGGGCACACTCTTTGCTCGAAGAGTGACATGTCCGAATTGTAGGGGCGCAGGGAGCTGGGTGAAGAATCTGTGGCATAAGTGTGGGAGATGTAAGGGGAGTGGACGGGCTTTGGCGCCTTGTCCGAGTGCTTGTAGGAGGGGGAAGGGGGTTTATAGTAATTGGTAGGTGGTAGTAGCTATTATATTGTTATCGTTGGTAAGAAGGGGTGGACAGAAGAATTAGTATAGGGGTTTGATTGCATTTGATTAGTAGTGTATGATTCTCCGTATAGTATCATAAGTTGTGTGTACTACGTATTACAATTATCCTGCTGCTTTTTTTTTGAGGCTGCCGCATTTCACTTAGTCGCTTTTTCTAGAGGGGTAATCTAGTATGTAGAGTGGCTTTTTGTACTAGATCTAGATGACGAATGTAAATCATCAAAGTAATCATTCATTTTTCGTTGTTGATGATGCAGTTCAAAGGAACAGTCGATATTCTGGGGATGCGGGCTTTTATGCTTGCACTATCCTTGCTTGTACTATTCTTGCGTTCCGGTTGATGCTGTGTTATGATTTCTCAAGCATCTTAATGATATTAGACACTATTATGTATCTATATGGCCTTTGAAGCTCAACGCAGGCTTTCCTTGGGGCCTGGAAATATCCGAGCAGTAGAGTATATGTAAAGGGTTATATAGTAGTGTAGATACCCAAGTTAGAAGGATTTACCTGTAGAATAAGAGAGCGAAAGTATGTAAACCGAATGTCACTATAGTTATAAAGCCAAGGAATTGGAGTTTTTGCACATTAGACTGTTAAGATTGATAACAGCGTCTCTCTATATAAGAGAGGTTAGGAAAAGGGAGTAATTCTATCCAAAATAGAGTGCAATCAAAGACAACATGCAACTATAATTGTGTTTGTATATCCTCTGAGTAATAGCTTGTTATCATCGACTGAAAATGCCAAGTTGTATACGTCCAGTGCGTGCTTCAGAGCGATCAGTGAGTGCGCAGGAGAGCTGGACGGGACAAACAACTTCAGTAATGTCACTACTACTATTTTCGCCGGAGAAATAATATCAGCAGTGGCTTATCTACTAGCCCCATGAAAGCAGAACCAAACTTTCAACAGAGATGTTGAAGCGTGGCTGACTGACAGACAGACAGAATTTCAATAAATTACTGTGTAGTAGATAACTTAGTAGCTCGAACTATTGATTGCATTGCGGGATGAAAATAGTGTGATGAGTGACAATGACTTAGAGTCTGTGCTTACTGCAGCTGTTCAGCCCTCACATAAACTACTAGTATTGGAAAAAGGTTCAGGCAAGGCAAGGGAGTGTTGTTTAGAAAAAGAAAAAAGGCAAAAGCCACAATTGAATTCTCCGAGCCGCTTGGACCCATTGTACTTTGATGTACAGTAAAGTAGTCTAGTACGTAGTAGAGACTCCGTGCATAGTCTAGCATAACAGCATAAGCAAAGAAAAGAAAAAGAAAAAAGGGTATGGAAAAGAAGTAAGTTAGTGAGTGCATTCCGGGTTCCCTGCAGCTCCCGCCCCTCTTTTTGCAACAGAATCGGGATCATCAGTGGATCATCAGATGCAGGTTTAGCATCATGCAGATTGGGCTATTGTATGAACTATGGGATTAGCTAACGCGGGTGCAGGGCTGCATGAGATTGATAGTTTTGTGCGTGTTTGTTCTGTCGATGACAATCATTTTAGGGCATGGTCTGGTCTACTGTGGGATGTGTTGGTGAAGTCTGCATGGCATAAGTGTGATGACATGATTTGATGGGTGGTGGCGATTGAGACATGGCGAAAAGGAAGGAAATAATGATGACTCAATGAGTTGAGGAAGTGGATACAAGGGACAGAAGATCATTCTTCAAACAAATGATCGGTGTTGGGGCCACCCCGCATTATTGATGGGGGTGATGGGATGGGATCAGCATACTTTGTGCTTTGAAAGTAGTCTAGCTCTCTCGCTCTCGCTGCTGGAGTGTGACCCAAATGAGGGAGCAGCTGTTCTGCCCAGCTTCTGGGCAATGAATGGGGGCATTGAGGGGGGGGGGGGGACAACAATGGCATACCTCACTAGCCATATGCACCTCAACTCGTAAAATCCTATCTATCCAGTCTAGATACCTTGGCTTGGGTGATCTTCTATCGGAAAGACAGCCGTCTTGTTCCTGCCGAGGGGAGATAAAAGGAAAAAAAGGACCAGAAGCGGCCGTGGATTATTGCATTGGGCGGCACCCAATCAGCCCAGCGATGGGGTCGTGTTTAAAGTTGGATCCAAGGAAGCTCCGAGTCGATTCAGGTCTAACCGCCAAGAGTCGGTGTGAATAATCTACTAGTTGTGTGATCATGAGAGACGGCACGAAGCGCCGCTTTTCTTCTTTTTTTTTCTTACGGTCGGAAATAGTTGTAGACCAGTGTAGACATCAGTAACCTTAGTGAGGTGGTGGATGTTTCACTACATGTCTACTGTTACTTACTAAATAGTACTTTGACTTGCCAACAACCATCGGCTATCCGCGGGTTGCTGCTGCTGCTGCTGCTGCTGCTGCCTGATCGCGTGAGGAGATGCTGGTTTAATCCCTCTCTTTCTTGCTACCCGTAGGAGGAAATTGATGATGTTGTTGTTCTTGTTCAATCCTGATATCCTTCTCCGTATCAATTGATCGATCGATCTATTGTCTTCACGAGTGATGAAGCTGAAATGCTCCAGTTGATCGCCAGCCATGGATGATGGTCGAGTTAGTCAAGTTAACTCCAAGGGAAGCAATTAATGCTGACCCCGGATCGGCCGGAAGGGACCAAAGACCCGAAGGAATCTAGAAAACGAGGATCCCCGCTCCGAATCTGGGAAGGTTGGCTGGTGACTTGTCGAGCTGAGCAAAACATCCAGCATCATTTGACAAAAGTAAGTAGTAGTTTGTAGTACACAATTCTTTGACCAGACCAGCATTATTTCAATAGGGGCCAAAACAAGACAGAAGATGAAAAACAAAGGGCCCTTGGTTGAGTCTTCTCTTTGAGACGCGGATGGATGGTGGATCCTTGTGCCTGGCCTTTTCGGACGGTCCTTCTTTTCTGTCATCATTTCCATGATTAGTTATTAATCTTCAGCACCAGGTGATGCTCGTATCCCTAATCAACCAGGGGGAGAGGATTAAGTAACTAACTAACTACTAGTGGACTATCGCGCTATGACGTTGGAGAGGCTGTGGCTGTTGGCAACAACCTTCATATTATTATTGTGATGATTATTATTGTAATAGTAATATTCTTGTTCGAATTTCTCTGTTTCCCTTGGCGAGAAAAACAATAATTCCAATATCCACTTTTGGGTTGAAACTGGCACTACTACTGTTTAGACTGTGACTCTGACTGACTGCCTGCCTTGACTCCCTCTTCTTCTCCCTTTGCCATTCCATTCCAATTCCCCATTTTCCCAAATACTCATTCTGTTTCTCCGTTTCAACTGGTTCATCCTGCTGTGCTGACTGGTTGTGTGAATCCCTCCTTCTTTTCCCTCCTTTCATTTCTTTTTTCCCTATCCTGTTTTTCTTTCCCTCCTTTCGCGTGCTTATCCCGCCTCTTCCTGGCTCACTGTCTCTCTCTGCCGCTATCAACGGAGACGGCGTTCGTGCATCGGTCGCCCTTGCATCCCCCATCCTTTCTCCTCCTGCTCGGGCTGTCCTGCTGCCACTCCTATCTATCTCTCCCACACACACACACACCCTCCCTTGACATTTTCCTTTTTCTCTCTCGTGACTCTGATTTGCCTTCTTCTGCGTGAGCTTTTTTGTCAACGTCCCCACTAAGACCAGTCAATTCCCTCACCGGCTTTCCTTCCATCACTCTCCTTCGGGCATCCGGTGCCCCTCGCCATTCTTCACCCTCGCGAATCCCTCCCCTCCGGTCCTAAAACTAGTATTCTCCCTCTGCGCTGGCCCACTTGAGACACATACCCTAGTCCTACCTTTCGTCACTGATGGGGCTCGCGCCATCCTAGCGACTACCCTCCTTTCCCTCTCCTTATCGCCCTCTTATATCGTGCGCCGTCCCGCCCCGACGGCACTCCCTCTCCGACCATGGGTGTCTCCCCATCTGGCAATCATCATCGACGGCGGAGTTCAGTGCTAGCGGGCGCTTCACAATCAGCTCCAATCGAACACCGGGACGATACCCCAAGGGCCATTGGAGACCCTGCTGGCTCCAAACGAGAGGAGCCCAAGTCCTCGCCGGCTGAGGACGCCGACATCTCCGACCTGTCCTCGATCGCAGAGAGCTTGGAAATGGATTATATTAGCTCAGACGACGACCTCCATGATGACGAAGAAACGGGTCTCACAGCGAAGCAGAGACGCCAGAGGCGCCGCAGAAGGCAGCAGCGTCGACAGTTGGATGCCCGCATCGCCGACGTCAAGGCCTCGAAGCACGATACATTACCCTTTGGATTCACAGACAGTGATGTCTTCAGGAGGCTGTCCATCAATGCGGGCTTGATCCTATTGTGGTATTTCTTTTCGCTGTCGATTTCAATTGTAAGTTGCTCCCGTGCGCGTATTTCATGGCTCACATGCTAATCCCCGTCGGTCTTGGTAGTACAACAAGTGGATGTTCTCCGATGACGATGTTGTCTTTCCGTTCCCCCTCTTTACCACGAGCTTGCATATGGCCGTTCAGTTTACCTTTTCATCCATTCTCCTATATTTGATACCCTCTTTGCGTCCGAAAGCGCCCGCTGTGTCCACACCCACAGGCTCGCCCGTGAGCGAACATGATCCCCATGAGTCCCGACCGGTGGTCACCCGGTTATTCTACCTTACACGTCTCGTCCCCTGCGGTGCGGCGACTTCCCTCGATATTGGTCTCGGAAATATGTCCCTGAAGTTCATTTCCCTCACCTTCCTCACCATGTGCAAATCATCCGCACTAGCATTCGTCCTTCTCTTTGCCTTTGTTTTCCGCCTCGAAACCCCATCCGTCAAGTTGATCGTGATCATTGCTACAATGACCGTGGGTGTGGTCATGATGGTCGCCGGCGAGACCGCTTTCAATGCGGTTGGGTTTATCCTCGTCATTGCATCCGCCTTCTTCTCGGGCTTCCGATGGGGCCTCACACAGATCCTCCTTCTACGCCATCCTGCGACGGCGAACCCGTTCTCAACCCTCTTCTTCCTTACGCCTGTGATGTTTTTCTCCCTGATCGTCATTGCGCTGGCGGTAGAGGGGCCTTTGGAGATCATCGCCGGCTTCCAAGCCCTGGCGGCTGCCCGTGGAGGCCTGTTTGCAGTCTTCCTGCTGATCTTCCCTGGCATCCTGGCTTTCTGCATGATTTCCTCTGAGTTTGCGCTCCTCAAGCGCTCCTCGGTCGTGACGCTGAGCATCTGCGGCATCTTTAAGGAAGTCGTCACCATCAGTGCTGCCGGGGTCATCTTCCACGATCAGCTCACTGCAGTCAACATTACGGGCCTGGTGGTCACCATTGGCAGCATCGCGTCCTACAACTACATGAAGATCTCAAAAATGCGCTCAGAAGCTCAGAAGGGCGCGTGGACACGAAGTCCTAACCTGGACTCTGAGGACGATTCCGATCCGACTGGGGAGCGCGGAGAGTACAGTCGGATCCGCAACCCCGAAACGAGCTGTTTCCAATCTCCGGGCATCCATGTCGACGAGGACAATGTGAATATTACTCCTGAGGATGACTTGACCGCTGGCGGTCGGCGCTCATTCCGTGTTCGTGCCAGTGGCGCTAGCAATGCGCTCGGGTTAAGCATCAACACTACCAATCTAGGGGACCACGATAGAAATTTCTCCCCTCGAGTGTCGGCCCCCTCGCCCTTGAAATCAGCTCCCCCCGTCATCATGTCCCTGGAAGCCGAGCTTAACCGGACGGCTTCCGGCCCTAGCCTCGGTAGCAAGCCCCAGACCTCTCCAGAACGGGCTTCACCTGAAGGACGCTCAGCTAGCTAGACGAGTATCCTTGGAATTGCTGCTTCAAGCACTCTCACCATGGTTCCTGGGACCACTGGTATGGTTCGACCTGGATTTTGCTTCCCTACTTTTCTTGATATCCCAAGACCCCTTTGTTCGGTCTACAACGTCATGGCATCAGCGTTCGAGTTCGTCGATGGTCGCAGCACGTTTCTGATCTGGATGGTCCTTTTTATCTTATATCGGCGGTTCTGATCAGCATGCCTAGAAATCGGCATGTGTGGAGTACATTGGGCGTCCCGCACATATTGGCAGACGATGTCTGGTATAGACAGTGATTTATCGAGTGATACCATGTTATCTATCTCTTAGCTCTAAAGGAGCTTCATCGCATTGCAGTCTACGTAATATCGATGTCGAAGTAGATCACTCTACTCCAATATTATACCATTCACACACACATCATTTTGTTCATACATTCTAATACTTCATATGTAGTAAGTACTATGTATTAATACATGGCTTCACTCCGAACAACTCTGACACCCCTCCTCATCACTCCCTTCCCCATCACTCTCATCCTTTCCCTTCTTCCCCCTCGTAGTTTTCGTCTTCGTACTCCCCTTCGCCTTCCCACCCCCATTCATCATCTCCATCAACGTCTTCTGCCCCTTCTCCTTCTTCGCCGCCTTCTTCGCCTCCGCCTCCATCTTCCGCTCATACTGCTCCATTTGCTTCTCGCGCATCTCCCTCCCTTCCTCAGATAACTTCGCCTCCAACGTCCGGAACTCTTCTCCCTCAGGATCCATCCCAATCAACGACTCAAGCAGCGCAATTTCACCCGCCCAGACGTTAAAATCCGGTACTAGCTTTGCAGAAGTTCCAGCCGGCTTCTTCTTCTTGCCCTTGGAAGACTCACCCCCTTCTTCCTTGATATCTCCCTCGGGTCGATCAATCGGCGTCTCCAAGATCATGGGTAATCCCTCGAGCCGCGGCTCGTTCATAACGTTGTGGAATGCGCGGAGACCCAGGAATCCCGTGCCGATGTTGGCGTGTAAGTCGCGTTTACTTCCCCGCGGGGCTTTGGAGTCGTTTAGGTGCAGGGCGCGGAGGTATTGCAGGCCGATTACGTCGGAGAATTCTTGCATGAAGGAGGCGAAGCCTGATGGGGAGGAGAGATCGTACCCTGCTGCGAAGCTGTGGCATGTGTCGATGCAGATGCCGATTCGGTGGTGGTACTCTTGCGGGATTTGGGATAGGATGTCCCGGAATTCGTGTAGGTAGCCGCCTATCGTGCTGCCGTGGCCGCACATGGTTTCGAGGACGGGGGTGACGGTGCTGGTGGCGGAGAGGGCGGAGGTTAGGGCCTTTGCGAGTCGGGTTATGGCTGAGGCGTGCGGGGTTTGGTTGGCGCTGCCGGGGCTGTGGGGTTGGGGAGTTAGTTGAGGGGTTGTTTTTGGGAGTTGGGCAAGGTAATGAGGTAGAGTGTGTAGATGTGGGGTGGTTGGGGGGCGTACTGGAAGTTGTAGAGGGTGATGCCGAGGGCTTCACAGCGGCGGAGGTCGTCGAGGAATGAGTCGTATGCTTGCTTGGCTTTGGTCTTGTCTTCTTGGGCTAGGTTCACGAGGTAGGAGCCGTGGGGGAGGATGTGTCTGGTATGTGGTTAGATCAGGGTTGGGTGAGTAGGTTGGTGTGGGTTGGGAGGCTCACTTTGCGCCGTCGTATTTGTGCTCGATGCAGAGGTTGCGGAATTGGTCGCGGTGGTCATCTTGGAGGGCTGGATTGTCCCATTTCCGCTGGGACTTGAGGAATAGAGCAAAGGCGTTGCCGCTGGGAGGGATTAGTGATGGTTGGTTATGATGGTGAGTGGACGTACCCGATGTGCATGCTGTTGTGAACCGCGTTAAAGACGCCTGTAACACATCGTAAGCATCATATCAAGGATGATTAATTCAGTAAGGCCAACCTTTGGCGGCGCTGACATGAGCGCCTACGCACATGCGTAGACCCTGCGTGCGCGCCCTCAACGGTACCATCTCGACTTCTTCCTTTGTCTTTCTCTTCCTTGTAACCTTGGCCTTCACCTTCGGCTTCTCATCCGCTTCTTCGTCCTTGACCTCGTCTTCGTCGTCAATATCTGCCTCGACCGTGACTGTCTCTTCCTCCTCAACCTCCTTCTTCACCGAAACGACCCGACCACGAGATTTCCTCGGTGTCGCCTTGGGGCTCTCAGCAGATTCGGTCGGTGCTGTGCGCGCAGTGGATTTGGCAGA